TACATCTCTCCATTCATTCCCATTTAACACAGTATAAATGGGATGCTCTTGGAAGATATGTGTGGGTCGCCTTACACAGAGGGACCAGTAAGTTGTAGCATTCCCAGCAGCTGCTCTTGCCTCACTGTTGGGTGGTAGCTCCAGCATCTCAGATGGGGCCAACTGGTCCTGCATCTATTTGAACAGCAACAGTATTGAACAACAAAAAGCAGGACTAAAGATTGCATATTTTATATATATATGCATAGAAGCTAAAGTTATTGTCATGAACCGCCCTTAAAGCAGCTCCTGGGAAAGAGGACTGCATGTTAACTCATTTCTCCCTAAATGGAGGACAGGTTTAAAAGCATTCTCATTGACTTTGAAATGCTGACCCCAGGTATATGTTACTTAGATATATACAGAGAAATCCAGCCTTTCAAAATGAACCTGATAGCAATCCTCTTCTTCAAAAGAGACAGTATCCATCTTTCTGTCCAGCAGATATGGAGGTGGATCAAAGGTTATCTGGTTTCCCATTCCAAATCTTTCATTAGCCTCCCAATTAATTCTTTGCAAATCATACCACCCGCTCTGTATCTTAATTTTTTTCCACCAGCAAAATATAAATCTCAGCATACCCTTTTCCGATGAAAGATTTTGAAATCCATAGCTTTCAGCTAACAAGCTGTAGAAATTTCTTATCTGCATACAATAAAATGGGAGATTAAAAAATAAAGGAAATGTTTCAATTAAAAAAAGGGCCCTGACTAAAGAGGAGGGAAAGTGATTTTTAGAAAAATGTATTGTGGAGCACGAGAGGTAGGCAGCAAGACCTAGTCAGAGAGTGGATGGCAGAAAGAGGAAAAAAACTTTTTTGACTTAAACTTTCAGCATTCTCTCCCTTTCAGATCTCAAATTGTTAGTGATCCCAGTTACAGGAGCAAAGAGAGAGGTGAACTGCCAAAGCTAAAGAGATATTGCATTGGTACAAACTACAGAATCATTTGAGCATTGCTCTCCACGTGTCTGTGCTCTAGCACAGCACAGAGGAAAACAACCAGCAAAGTAATTTACAACCAGTCCTGTCTCACATATCTTGGTGTCAATAGATTGTATGTCAATAGCAAGAGCTTGTACTCAGCTCTTCTCTGCACATTTGTCTGATACACATTGCTTATGCTAGTTTAACCCTAAGAGTAATGCCATGCAGCCAGGTCCTTTCCCAAAGCCCCCAGGAATCTGAAGTAATTTATTGCCTTTATACTGCACTGCTGCACAAGCAGTATCATACCTCCCTCTGAAAAGCATTACCCTATCATGATGAAGTACTAGCTGCTGGTTGTTGTCAGCCTGTGTTGTATCTTGCTTTTTGTCATGGAGAGTGCAGAAACATGGTCTTTTCTCTTTTATTCGCCAGTTTTGCTCTGAGCACTATGAGAAGAGATATTAAGCAGTTTTCACTGGTTTCCTCACTGCTGCCCACAAGGCTGATTCCTTATCCCTCCTGTGTCGATCAAAACAGCACAGCAAAGCCAGCAAAGCAGTGCAACCGTGTTGTGCAGCACAGTACCACCCCAAAGCATACAGCAGCACTGTGCTTGCTCAGCACATTTATCTGTATTAATGCATCAGCAGGAAAACACAGCTTTGTGTCCATCCATGCTCTAAATATGAACAGTTAATAACCATCCACATTTGTCTCAAAATATTTGGAAACAGAAAGCAAAGAATCAGATATGGTTTCATCAGTGCACAATACATCACATTCACATCCACTTCAAGTAATATCAGTGGAGCAAAAGAAATCAAGAGGTATCTAAGGTATCTTGCCACCATAAGATACCTTAGTATCTTATATCTAAGAGTGATACTAGAATCTTCCAGACTGGACAGAAGCCTAATGAGACTAAATAACAAAAAAAGCTGAAATCCATCTTCTAGGCATACTGCTACACACACATATTCAAGTATAAATAAACAAAATAACAATTATAGATTTATGTGCCTACATTATTTGCTGCAATAACATTAAATTGCTGTAATAATACTAAATGCCATTTACAGACACTTTGACACTTAAAAAAAAACAAACCACTTAAAGACAAGATGATCTTCTCTATCAAGATTTCCTATAAGGATTTGCCTTTTCATCACTACTAAATTGTTTGTATGAAGCACTTATCACATTTATAGGAACAGAAGTGTAAACCAGAAAGGACACACTTGTATGTTGTTTTGTTGTTGTTTTTGTCTGTACTGGGGATAGGGAAGCAGGGGGAAAAAGGTCAGCAGACTGGGAATTCAAAGGAAAAGATAGACCATCTTGTTTATAAGTTTCTTGGGTACAGCATATGGGAAAGCATGAAGTCTGGGGCAGTTTTGTTGTTTGGCTTTGTTAAAGATTTTCAGTCACATGATACATAGGCACTGAACTCCACCAAATCAGGTGGAAGGAAAGGCAATAATCCAATTTTTTCTCAAAGATGGCTCAGAACAGAATATGAGCAAAGAATAAGTTGCCTTGCATGGAGTAGAGCAAGCACTGCACAAACACACTGCAAACAGGCCACGAGGGATACCTTCTTTTAAGCTCCACTAATCTTCACCTTAGAGAAGTACTAAAATCCTCATAAATAATACAACACATTAATGGGTAGGTTTTTAAACATTGTGGTCTGCCACTTAAAAAGCACCAGGGTAGCAAAGTACAGTGGTAGAAGTGGGAAGTATGTGGCTTGTTGTCCTGTGGTTATCTTGGAAGGCAGAACAGCACTATGGCCACAATGTATGGAGCCAAAGCTCAAGCTGACCTCAAACAATAGCAGTCCAATCCTTCTCTTCCATGCCCAGGTCATAAAAATATTACACAAACAATTCCCACCTTCAAGACAGAGACAGAAATGTCACTGACCAGGGCATACCAGATCTCCTACTACAGCTCTGAGAAGAGGAAAATGTACCTATTCCCTTCCTTCTCATAGCCCACATGGGACTTTGTAAGCTCACACCCAATGCCATGAGCCTTCAGCTTTGCTATCAGTTCCCATTCCTAATCATACAAAAAGAGACTCACCTGGCCTTAGGTATCCAGTAGTAAAGCAAACAGCTTGTGAACCAGGAGTCCCTACTGTTGGTGACTAATCTCTTCCAATTCTGGTGATCCAGAACCTAAAAGGTCCCACAAGATGCATAAACGGAGTTGCATCTTAGCCTAACACAGGTAGCCTAAAAGATTTAGCACACTGGTCATTTCTCTTATCAGTCTTCAACCAAACACCCCCAAGACTTTACAACCCAGCTCCATAACATAACATGAGGAATAAAAAAGCTAGGAAATGGAGTGCTGAGCCTATGCCCCTCTTCTAAGTCCAGACCAAGCTGAAAGCAAATGCTTTGTGAGCTGTAGAGTGCATGTGAGCTGGCTGTATAAAGCAAGAACAGAACACATTGTCAGTGTGATGGGAACCCGATCCTTTCACAAGCTAACATTTGCTGCCCAGCATTGTTCTTTTTCTTCATTAAGGGTCTGGCTCAGGCCACGTTTTGCTTTTGGGCTTCAGGAGTTCAGTGTAGCATAAAGAAGTGCTCCCATTAAAGGTCATCCATAAATACATCTCATATGGAGATATTCTAAACTTCACATAAAGGAGAGCTTCATACGTAAGGAAACATTGCCCTTGCATGAATTCTTCATCTGTTGCAGTTGTGATAGATACACAAAACTTGAGGAAAAGTGAAACACTCTTATGGACTCTGGATGCATTACCAGCTGACCACTGAGCACACAAAGCCAGTGCTCTGTTTTACCTTTCCCAAAATTCTTGCATTGAATTAGGATGGCAAAATGCCATTTTTCCCCACCACCATATCTTTTGAGGTTTGTTGTAAATTGTCATTATAACTCTTTTACTTCACAGTAAGGCCTCCTTAAAGTATGATGCTTTTATATATATATATATATATATATGTATATATATATATAAAGCTTTTACATATATATATATATGCATATATATACACATATACACTAGTTATCAATATGATGCTCTTTCTCCATGACGGCGTAATTAAATTCTGTTGTCACTGTGCACCATATCTGAGGCCAATGTACCGAGCAAAACATTTGAGTAACAATACCCTATTTGGCAGCATCTTCAGAAAGCTAAATAATCACAATCTACAGATAAACTGGGCCTTTGCAGCACAGAAACAGAGTTTAATCACCTCGTATAAAGAAAATACTGGGAAATATTCTGCACATTATTCTTCCAAATTCTTCTCTTTATCCTTGGGAAATAAATGATGAGATCTACAAAGCAAATTTCTCCATGTGAAGGAGAACTATAAAAAGACTGATAAACAGACAGAGGTTTTACTGCCTTTAAGAAGAAATCAATGGCACTGATATTTAGTTGAGATATTATAATCTACAAATGCTTGAGAGTTTTACATTTCAGAATTTTTTTATCTTTCTACAGCCACACCATTTAAAACAAACTGGCCAACCCAGTTGGAGGAGACAGTCTATTGGTCAGATTTTAGTGTTAGTGTTAGATTCAGTTTGAATGAGGCAGAAAATTAGTCAGATTTTAGTGTTAGTCCTGCAGCTCTGAAATTAATGCTTTTCTGAGAAGCAACAGCTGGTGCTCCAGGAAGCTGGTGGTGGGCCCAGCCATGTGTGTGACTTGAACTCATAGGCCCTCGTGTGGGGATGAGGAAACAAGCAGGGGTTGTGCAAGAAACAACTTTGATGCAGTTTGACAAAAGAAATCAAAATGGAATAAAGAACCCCTGAACGCATCTCCTGAACAGAGACAGGCAGTCTTTGAGGTGAGAAGGGGGATTTTGAAGACATGGCACATATGCAACTATGTCTAGACTTGAAGCTGGCAGAGAGGTGGGGAATGAGGATTGAGTTAACATTTTCCTCTTCTGTTGTTTTTAAGTGGCTGTGAGAGAGTTTGGCAAAGCCATATACCTGCCCTTGCTCTGACTGAAAGGTTTCTCTGCTCTCCCAGATCAGCATCTTCATGACCCATTTGTCCAATTACGGGAATGACCGCCTGGGGCTGTACACCTTCTCAAACCTGGCCAACTTTGTGAAGAGTTCAACCAACCTGCAACTACAGACACTGCCACCCATCCAGCTGGCACACAAATACTTCGAGCTCTTCCCTGAGCAGACAGACCCCCTTTGGCAGGTAATGTCCTGACCTCTCCCTGCCTCCGATTACATTGCTTGTCAAAAAAAGAATCTGTTCCTGTAAAAATAATAATAATTAAAAAAGGAAAAGCGCCTGCTTCACTTTGAAAAGTTATTTTTCAGCTCACCTCAAATCAGGCATATTAAAAGCAACAACATGAGCGAAAGCTCCTTCCCCTGTTAGCTGCAGGTTTGCTGATGCATCACAATGTGTTAACTAGTTACAGTACCAGCAAGATGAGTGCAGACAGTCCGTAGCAAGAGCTATCCCAAGGCAAACAACACATGTCCATTGTGCCCATCAAGGGAAGCAGCTACAGGGTTTTCATGCCACTTGAACCTCCTTCACCAAAGAAACAAGAAGGGAGGGACAGAGGGGTCAGTGCTGTAGAATAGGCTGCTGTTTTAGGAAAGGAAAAGGGTTTCTACACAGTCCACAAATGGCTGTTTTCTATCTCTGTTGCAAATGTACGATAGTGCTGCTTATAATCCCTGTGCTGTAATTTCCCAATCGTTGTACTTGTCTGGCTCTTCTCTTATTCAGAATATGATGTGCTACACTGTGCTTTTAGCTATGTAGGCTTAAATCCAGAGTGACACCGTTGAGATCCAAGCAGTTTTATCAAGCTTATGCTCATACAAAGGAGCAGAAAATCTTGCCATTATTTTTGGCCCAGATGCAAAAGAAGTATAAATCAACAATATTCCCATTGAGTTTAGTGGAACTGCAATGATTCACATAATTTAATGATTTTCTCTTTTATATTTTGCTAACTTTTTCTCTAGCAAACTGTATATTCTATTACCAGCCAATACTATGCAAAAGCAGGATCCATATGATAAGTCCTAACCTTTCTTGTGGGGTCTTTTGTCACACATTTTTATTTTGCATTCATGGGCAGTAAAAAGATAAGAAGATGAGAAGTAATATCCCACATTTCTATTCTGCCTTCCTTTTGGGTTCTTATGTAAATTTAAAATTGGTACTAAGAGTACTATGCATCTGAAACCATTTCATCACCTTTGAAAGTAATGCCTCAAAGCTATTCAAACAGAGGTTTCCATTTTAACTTGAAATGAAAACTTGATTAAATCAATGGTTTAATATTTCTTTTCTTCTTCTTTTTTTTTCTCTAATGACTGAACTTAATCCTCAGTCATGTAAGACCATTATACACACATTCAGTTTTTGTCAAAGGGACAACACACATGCTTGCCTAAATGCCCATAGGCTCTGAGCTGATGAAAAGCACCAGGCTAATGGAGAGAGGGAAACACAGTAGTCTTGTAAGGTGTGGTTGAAACCAATCTTTCCAGTTTTCGCAGAGTTTCTCAGCTTTCTTGATTTCACTGGGGCCCCTGTAAGGACCAGTCCTGAATGGTATCAAGGAACTTAGTCTCTGTATACCTGGAAACTCTGGTGCCCAGTACAATGAACAGATTTCCAGGGATTCCTACCAATTACCTCTATATCTGTGAAGAATATGGGGAAAAACTCTTATGGGGAAATATCACAGAATCAATAGAATGAATCATGTTGGAAAGGACCTCAGAGACCATCTAGTTCCAACTCCCTCTGCCATGGGCAGGGCTGCCACCCACTAGATCAGGCTGGCTGGGGCCCCATTACAACCTGGCCTTGAGCACCTTCAAGGATGGGGCATTCCACAGCTTCTCTGGGCAGACTGTGACCACCTTCTGCATAAGGAATTTCCTCCTAACATCTAACCTAAATCTTCCCTTTTAGTATTGGAGATCTCCCTTTAAGTACTGGAAGGCTATAATGAGGTCTCCCCAGAGCCTTCTCTTTCTCTGGACTGAACTAGCCCAGTTCCCTCAACCTTTCTTCATAGGATAGGTACTCTAGTCCATTGACCATCTCTGTGGCCCTCCTCTGCACCGACTCCAACAGCTCCACATCCTTTCTGTACTGGCAGCCACATTCCTGAACACAAGACTCCAGATGTGGCCTCACAAAAGCAGAATAGAGGGGGACGATCACCTCCCTTTCTCTTCTGAGCGCCCCTCTGTTGTTTCAGCCCAGAATACAGTTTGCCTTCTGGGTTGCAAGCATGCATTGCTGGTTCTTGTAGAGCTTTTCATGTCCTTTTCAGCAGGACTGCTCTCAATGAGTTCTTCTTTCAGTCTTTACACATATCTGAGACTGCTTCAATCCAAGTGCAATACCTTGGGTTCTTACTATTTTGTGTAAGGCTCTGGTATTAGTGTGTAAGATTTAGATTCTGCAAAGTCTCATATGTGTGCAAAATGCTTAGGATGTCTCTGGCATGATGTGCCATAATTCTGTTCTTCTTCAGAATCCATGTGATGACAAACGACACAGAGATATTTGGCCCAGAGACAAAACTTGTGACCATCTACCCAAATTTCTTGTGATAGGACCCCAGAAAACAGGTAAGAAACATGAATTTTTAATCTAAACCAAATCCCAGATTTGTATCTATGTGTGTAAACTATGACCTGCTGTAGAAAATGCATTCCTCATCCATATAGGATTCAGATAGTAACTCCTCCACCACTAACAAAGAGAGGGAATGGGGTGGATCGTAATATTGCATTCTCTTTCCACTACTAGCCACTGCTACCAGAAGTCTGCTATGGGATTAGCACCAAAATTTCCCAGCAGTCTCTATTCTAATGGGTATTATTAATCTCTCCCAATACTGTATTTATTTAAACAGGAAAGGCTCAGACTACAATTTACTTGTTGCCTTCAATTATGGTTTTCTTTCCAAAAACTGAAGACACTGTAAGATGTGAAGATAGATTGTTTTGGCAATACTTCTAGTTGATTTGCTTTTGGGAAGAAGCATGTGCTCATCCCCATTTGCAGGAGGGACTGGGCAGCACTGGCTCAGTGCTCAGATGCTCTCCAGAGCTGGCTCTTGCTGGCAGCCAAAGGGTGGAAATCCCAGCATCCCCATGAAAACACAGATGCTGATGGCAGCCCCTTCTGAGCCACAAGCAGCTATGTGTGCACCTGCCTTGTGTACTGATGTTGAAGTAGTGTTGTGGCACTTTCAAAGCTGGTACTTGATGGCTGTGCACATCTAATTTCACTGCTGACTTCCACCCACTGGTAATAAGACAGTGCAGGAGGAGGCAGTGTAAACATTCACCATAAAGAAATATGCTGTCAGGATGCTGTAAGTTAAGTTTGTTACTAAGTTCTTTGACAAATTGTTTCCTCACTGTTTGAGACCCTAATTGCCAATCAACATATTTACCTCTTTGCAGGCCTCCTCTGGGGGTCTCAGCATTATTTAAATTGAGCCACATATTCCTACCCCCAAGCTAGCTGTTACTGTTGTTGACATACGACAGAAAGTGAATACTGAGGCAGGGAAATGAATGAATAATCCAAGATTATGTAGATACTGTGACAGTGACAAAGAGACAGAAGGTCTTGATTCATAGTCCAATGATAGCTTGCATAGCATAAAATCTTTGAAGAGTAATTTGGAAGACACATTCTCCAGAAATTTCACTATGTATTGAATTACATTTCTGTTTCTTTGTTGTTGTTTTTTTTTTTAACTAATAAATAACAACAAAAAATTATGAGGATTTTAAAGTACACTTATTATTTGTAGGTTTGTTGGCAGGTAGACAGTGCAGATAAAATACACCATGCCTCCTTAATAGACTTTTTATTCCTCAATAGCAGACACTCCCCCCAGGAGAAATGCACAGAGGAAAAAGGTGCTGTTCTGGGAGCAAGAGAAGCACAATCACACAATTACTACTTTGGAAAAATTTTGTGCAAGTAAACAATTTAAAAACAAACATGTTCAGGCCAAATTTTGTCACTGGGTTAACAAAGTCAAGAAAGCAATGTCACCAACAAAAGTATCATTACTGCCTCTGAAAGCAGAATTCAGAATCCAGAAATGAGAACAGTTTACGAAGCACAGAAAAAAATTGCAAGTATTCCCCACTTCATCTGAAAGTAGCTTGCGCCTACATACCTCTTTCACAAATAGGCAAAGGAAACCTTCCTAATTTTCCAGTATATCTCAGTATGAACTGAGGCAGAAGTACTTTCTTGTATCAATTAACTCAAAGGTGGTTTTTTTATGTATCCTAATGATATCTCTTTGCGTTTTTGTAGGAACAACAGCACTTTATTTATTTCTTCTGATGCATCCTTCCATTATCAGTAATCTCCCTAGCCCAAAAACTTTTGAAGAAGTTCAGTTCTTCAATGGGAACAACTATCACAAAGGAATTGACTGGTAAGAAAAATTACAAAAATGCAGTATTCATTATCAAAACATGATGAATCACAATGACACAATAACAGTAGCATGTATGATATCTACATAAATAGTGACTAATTTGTTATGCTTGGCATTATCAGAGAGAATGAAAATCTCACTTCTAATGATAGGACATTTAATCACATCGTAGAATCATAGAATCATAGAATCATAGAATCATAGAATCATAGAATGGCCTGGGTTAAAAAGGACCACAAAGATCATCTCGTTTCAACCCCCTGCTATGTGCATGGTCGCCAACCACCAGACCAGGCTGCCCAGAGCCACATCCAGCCTGATCTTGAATGCCTCCAGGGATGGGGCATCCACAGCCTCCTTGGGCAACCTGTTCCAGTGCTTCACTACCTTCTGTATGAAAAATCTACTCCTAATATCTAACCTAAGCTTCCCTGTCTCAGTTTAAAACCATTCCCCCTTGTCCTATCACTATCCACCCTCATAAACAGATGTACCCCCTCCTGTTTCTACACTCCTTTCAAATATTGAAGGCCACAATGAGGTCTCCCCAAAGCCTTCTCTTCTCCAAGCTAAACAAGCCCAGTTCCCTCAACCTTTCTTCATAGGAGTATTGCAGTAACAATTTTTTTATTCTATTCACAACAGCAAGCACAGATAGGATGGTTGTTTTCTGAATAACATCTCTGTGATCTCATAACTACTTATTTTGAAATGGATGAATTATACTTTTTTTCTTCAGTGTTTTTAATTAAGTAAAAATTGGCTTTTCATGAGAAGAAAAAAATCTCACCGTAAAGATTTTCAGCTGATTCTCCTCTCATAAATTTTAAACATTGCTTTTATTGTTTTTGCTGAAGAAAAAAATTTTGTAAGGCTTTTGTTTCCATGGGGAATTACACTCCTCATCTTTATACGAAAACCAAAATACAAGACAAACATCACATTATACAGAAACAGATCAATCTTTTCCGAGTTGTCATGAAAAAGGAGGAGAAAGAAATACTTCTCATTCATTTTTCATAGTGTGTAAGCAAAGAGCTCACACATAGATATCACAGAGTATATGGTATACTACACAAGAAGGAGAAAGAGTGGGATGAGCAAGGCTGGTGGATCAGGGCTTGGCTCCCAGCATGGCAGGGCTGAAGTGCTGTGGATACCCATGAAGCAGCCCTTATTCCCTAAGAACCATGTGAGATTGTGAATCTCTCCTCTGCAGCACTGTGCACACAAAGAAGCTGGCCTTGCTGAGACCTCTTCTGGCACATTTCACTGGGATTGGCTGCTAGGCTTAAATGTCAGCAGAGTTTTGCGCACAGAGCAAGGTCCTACACACTTTGTTTCAGTAGAAAGTTCTTAAAAACAGCCTGCCACATCAAAACAGAAGTTTCTGGAGTACTCAGCCAAACGAATAAGACCAAAAAATGCCTCCATCTGAATTCTTCAGTCTTTGGATTAAACTTTCTATGCTATTCATTTTTACTTCAAATCAAATGTCAATGGAAAAGATCATCAAAGCCAAAATTTGAAATCTTGCTTTCTGAAAATGGCAAAAAGATTTGTCAGTTCAAAGATGAAATATTTCAACAATGTTAAAACTAAATGGTTTGCATTTTGAAGCTTCTCTCATTTTTTTTCTCTGGCTAAAACTGAATTGGCAAAAAATTTCCTTGTGACACTGAACTTATTAGAAAAATCCCATCCATCAAAGGGAAAACCTAATTACCTGAGTTTATGGAGAATTTAGCTATTACCAGTACCATCCAAGAGCCAGAATCTGCTCCCCCTATTCCATTTCTGGAGCTGAAAAATTTAATTTTCCTTGTTATGAATTATGTCTGAAAATCTACTTTTTGACCTACCATGAAATGAGATGCAGATGCATATGACCCTTTTAATTCTAATTAATTTCTTTACCTCCCAGGTACATGGATTTCTTCCCCACTCCTTCCAATACCACCACCGACCTTCTCTTTGAGAAAAGTGCCAACTATTTTCATTCTGAGGAAGCTCCTAAACGAGCAGCTTCTCTCATCCCCAAGGCCAAGATCATCACCATCCTCATCGACCCATCTGACCGTGCCTATTCTTGGTATCAGGTATGGACATTGCCTTCAAGAAACAGACAGTGAAATCAACAGTGGGGGATGATGACCATTATATGGGGGAATTTGTGCCCTTGAGCGAGAACAGGATTTATTTGCACTGTGTAAAAGTGGAAGGATGCTGAATGTCAGCTTTTGCAAGTTGGCACCTGTTACACCAGTGTCATAAATGATGAAACTTCTCAGCACAGAGCTGCCACTAGCTGTAAACAAGCATATTAATCTCAATTACATTTGACACTACATAGAGGAAAAGCAATGTTCCTCGCCCAGGGAGATGCATGGGGGAAAATGAGCATAGCCTAGCTAGAAATCAGAGCTTTTTATGCTGAGAATCTGGTTCCTCATTTAGTCCTCTGTCTTGCAAGCTGAGTAACATGGAGTAGTGTGCAAATATATGTAATGTCTTCTAAAGTTTCCTCCTAACTGAAAAGAGATGTGTCTGAAGAGTAGTGTAGAGAGTTTTTTTTCTTTGTGTGGAAATAAAACAAAGCATACTAATTTTTTAAGGAAACTCTAGGATGCTCTTTCATGTCTTTTATCATGTCCATACCTTTCCATAAGAAAGTCTGTACACTGTTTTTTTAAAGACATATTTTAGTATGCAAAATATGGTGTGATTACAGAAATGAAGGAAATACTAAAAATGAGGTTAAAATGGATACAGATATTGTTGCAATAAGCATAAAGTACAATATTTCTGATACTGTGGCTTACACCTGCAATTTGCACCCTTTCTAATTTGCATCTGTACAGATGCTGATGTGAGATGTGGAGCAGTAAAACACTGCATCTCCTTTGGCTGAGCACCTCCTCAGCTCTTCTCTCACCCCTGGCTCCAGCACGGAGTAGACAGAGGTGCAGAGAGGGGCAGGCACAACCTCTGTCTCTCACACATTGTAAAATCTGAACTGTGCCTTCTGAGTGGGGAGTAATAGGATGTACTGGGAAGGAGGCTGTAAGGAGTCGTGATTTTGCTCTTTGTGGGAGTTAGAAGTACCAGAGCAATTTGTTCCTCTTTTTCTCTTTGATCATGGCTTAATCTTCAGAGTCATAGTGATGTGTGACTAAATATCTCCCATTAGCATCAGCGCTCTCATGAGGACCCCACTGCTCTGAAATTCAATTTTTATGAAGTCATTACGTCAAGCCCCTGGGCACCCTCAGAGACAAGGACTCTCCAGAAGAGGTGTCTGATGCCTGGATGGTATGCTGTCCACATTGAACGATGGCTAACTCACTACCCAGCTTCACAGGTAACTTCCAATCTGTTAGTTCACCAAGGTTGCAGAAGGTCCTGCAATGAGTACTGGCCTCATTGATAGAGGTAACGGGATGCTTCCCACTGGAATTCTTAGCCATTATGAAGTGCAGATTTGTCAATATCAGAGCATTTACCAGAAATATTTTGATTTTTCTTTCTTTGTTGGTTAAGATGCAACAGGAAAACTCTTTGGCCTGTAGCCAAAGGGAGTCAATGAGTGACTTAGGACCTTCCTTCCAGGATTGCCAAGGCTTCTGGGTCTCAAGAAACAAGCATTTGTAGCATGAGACACTGTAGGAAGTTTTGCCAAATTCATCCAGAAAATGCCAAGGCTTTATCAAAACACAAATTCAATTCCCCCTCCCACTCACTTTATTTCATTTCACATTTATTTGAGGCTGATAGGGAATTAGCCTTCCTCAGTAATGGATTCTATCTTTGGCTCCATCTTCCTTCAGATGTTTTATTGAATTGTCTTTTACAAACCTTTCCATGAACATTTAACATAAACATATAGGCCTAACCAATATCATACAATCATAGAATCATCTGAACTATCTAAACCAACTGTCCACCTACTGCCAATATTGCCAACTAACCTCTGTACCTAAGTGCTACATCTACCCTTTCCTTGAATATCTCCAGGGATGGTGACTTCACCATCTCCCTGGGCATCCTGTTCCAGTGCCTGACCACTCTTTCTGAGAAGAAATTCTTCCGAATGTCCAAGCTGAGCTTCCCCATACAACTTGAGGCCATTTCCTCTAGTCCTTTCACTGTTACCTGGGAGAAGAGGCTGACATCCACCTCACCACAACCTCCTTTCTGACAGTTGTAGAGATTGGTAAAGTCTCCCCTGAGCCTCCCCTTCTTCAGACTTAGCAATCTCAATTTCCTTAGCCACTCCCCGTAAGACTTGTGCTCCAGATCCTTCACAGCTTTGCTACCCTTCTCTGGACATGCTTCAGGGCCTCAGTGTCTTTCTTGTAGTGAGGCGCCCAAAACTGAACACAGTTCAGAGCTGAGTACAGAGGGACAATAACTTCCCTGCTTCTGCTGGCTGCACTATTTCTGATACAAACCAGGATACCATTGGCCTTCTTGACCACCTAGGCTCATTGCTGGCTGATGTTCAGGTGAGCATCAGCCAACACTCTCAGATCCTTTTCCTCCACACAGCTTTCCAGCTACTCTACCCCAAGCCTGTAGTGTTACATGGGATTGTTGTGACCAAAGTGCAGGACTCAACCCTTGGTCTTGTTGAACTTCATCCCATTGTCCTCAGTTCACTGGTTCGATATATACATATTCCTGTGGCATTCTAGAGCCCTCCTATCCTGAGGCAGATTGATACTACACCTTGATGTTGTCTGCAATCATGCTGAGTTTGTACTAGTTCCCTCATCCAAGTCATCAATAAAAGCATTTAATAGGACAGGCTCCAATGCTGACCCCTGGGGAACACCACTCATGACCAGTCACCAGCTGGATTTAACTCCATTCACCAGCATTCTCTGGGCCCAGCCCTCCAGCCAGTTCTTTTCCCAGCAAAGACTGCACCTGTCCAGCCCAGGCTGACAGCTTCTCCAAGTGAATACTGTGGGAAACAGACCCAAAGGTTTAGCTGAAGTCGAGGTATACTATGTCAACAGCATTTCCTTCATCCACCGAGTGGGTCACTCAATCATAGAAGGAGATCAGGTTGATCAAGCAGGACTTGCTTTTTGTGAACCCATGCTGGCTACACCTGATCTCTGGGCTGTCCCACACATGCTGTGTGATCTCACTCAAGATGATCCGCTCCATAACCTTCCCTGGAACCAAGGTCAGGTTGACAAGCCTGTCATTTCCCAGATACTCCCTATGGGCCTTCATGAAGATGGAAGTCACACTGACAAATTTCCAGTCCTCTGGGACCTCTCTAATTGACCAGGACTGCTGATAGATGGTGGAAAGCAGCTTGGCAATCACCTCCACCTTTGGTGGATTCCACCTGGCCCCATGCACTTGTGACAGTCCAGGTGGAGTAGTAGGTCTCTGTTTCCTTCGTTATCATGGGGGATTTAATCTGCTCCCCATCAAGTCATGAGACTGAATACTCTGAGAAGAACTGGTCTGAAATATGCCTATTACCAAACAACAATTGTTTTGTGATATAAACCTAAAGAAAATGATTTAGTCTTACACAACAGGGGCATTCTTTACCTGTGTATATGGTCCATTGCTTACATATTATATCTGCCTATTAAGAAAAAAATATTAAAGGGTATTTAAAGAATAGGCATGTCTGTCCTGGGAAATCTGGAGCATGCACAGGGTACCAAGTCTCCCATGCCCCATTACCTGTGCTCCTTATTCTCTTTTCTTCTGGACTGGGCTGCTGCCATGTCTCATGAAGATTTCTCTACTTCTCCTACAACAGCAAAAAGCAAATGCACACCTCTTATTAAACATGCAGGGGCACACTGACATATTTCTTGTAAAACTGGTAACCACTCATGTTGCATAGCTGTAGTGATTAATTTTACAAGACGCACAACAAAATGCACTCATTCTTAATAAGGTGCGCAGAGAGTGCACTCACAGTGCTTACTAATGTGTAGTCAGTAATGTGCATTCACTCAGCCTGAGCACTCAAAAACTTAATAATTCATAATAAGCCCTCATGATAAATATAAAACACGTCTGTCCAGAATAGTTATTAGCATTGCTTCTTGGTTCTGGGAGACTTTGGATGCATACTCTTAACATTTGCTTGTGCAGGTCAATGTACCTTTACATCATGACAATTCTAAATTTAAAAAAAAAGAGAGAGAGAGAGAGACCTTTGTTAACAATTTTGCAAGACTGATGGTAATTCTGAAATAAACTACCACATCACTTTTGAACATTTAATTGTTTGGCTTCTGAAGATTTAATTCTAAGACACAAGCATTGTATCGTTTTTCTTATTCCATGCCGGACTTCCTATGGACACACTGTAAATCCCTGAAATATTTTTGCATTCCTTCCTTATCTCTCTGACTCAGAATTCTTTGGTACTTCGGTTAGGTTTGTGAGATCTAACTCTTCCTCTGAACAAGAAGGAAATAATGTTATTCCTTTCTTTAACCTCAGCCTGTTTCTAACAGACTGGCATATTTATCCCTACAGTTGCTAATTATTGATGGACAGCAGTTAAGAAGTGACCCAGCTACTGTGATGGATGAAGTGCAAAAGTTTCTTGGAGTCTCTCCTCACTATAATTACTCTGAAGCTCTAACGTGAGTCTGTTTCTTTATCATCTGTTCTATGGAATTACAGATTAGTATATCGTTAATTGCAAACAACAAGAAAAACTCACAAGAAAAACAATTTTGCAAAGAAAAAAGCATTTTTTTTAAAGTTGTGTTTAAGATGCATTCAGTTTTCCCCTAACTTGCATACATGTATTATAGAATTTAATTGCAAGGTTGCATACTTTTCCATGTGCAAATTCTATTTCACACAACATACAGAGCAAATGATTGCTCAGCATTTTGTATTAGGAACAGAATGAAGGCCCATGTTCATGTAAAAAATGTCTGCTACCTTTGAGTGTTAAACCACAGACGCCCAAGATGTTTTCTCTGGTTCTAGTGCTGCTTTCCTAGCTGCAGTGATTAATATGTGGATTCAGTTGATGTAAGTTGTGCGTGTACAAGCCCAGCACACATTTGCAAATCACACTGTTGAACATTATGATATCCTCCAGAAGCTGAAGACCCCCTAGTGTTAAGTCTGAAAAGATTAGTTTAAACATTTTTACCACATTTATGTAGCTGTTTAATGGCAGATTAGGAGAACAGCATTCAGTATGGTGGGATTCATCTGCTTGCAAAGTTTGCTTTTATTGCAGACCAAATACATCATTCCCTAATCCTTTTTCCATAAGTGGTTGGGCCAGTTCTGTTGCCTTTTTCCCTGGCAGCAGTCAGGCACATGGCATGGGTGGATCTCATCTGTATGCTGCCATTTGGGTGCAATTATGAACCACTACATGCAGACCTCAACCTGGGATACGGGGGAAGCTCAGATTTTCACCTTAAGTTGGAAACTCTTTGTTGCCTGGGGTACCAGCGCTGCAACTTGAGGTGCTCTGCAGGAGCCCAAATCAAGGTCCTTACACAGAGTGGAAGCCTTGTGATTGACTGCCTGCAGCCTCTGGCTTGGAACTAGTGACTGCAGCTACGATGAGCCTGGATCATATTTCTTATCCTTGCCACCCGGATGATAAGACTTTCCCCAGAATAGGGGATTAATGGCCTATGTGGCACTTTCTCTTTGACATGTTTCAATTCCCTGCAGGAAGGCAGAGTCTTTGTGGAGGTGGGAGTGGGCTGAATTTATCTCTACCTTCCTAGTCCGACAGCAAATTGTAAGAAGCTTTTGCACTGAACATCTCTGTGTAAGGGTCTTGTCATCATAAGCAGAGCTGCACTGGAGGAATCCTGGCACATTCGTGGGCTGAGAAGCCTTGTGCCCTGATCAAGGCTGTTCCTAGTCCATGACAGAGGGGTTGGCACAAGGGAGAGCATCTGCCTTCCCTTCCTGCATACTGACAACAGGAAAACTGCCAGAAAAATGAGGCCACCAAGGCCACACTGGCCCCACACAGTTTCTTCTCCATCTATAATTTGTCTTCAGTATTGTCTCTGGTGGGAGGGTTATACTTATTTAAACTACAGGCATGAAGTGAGAACTGAAGGTCTGCTGCCCTTTGACTCTCAGGGACATTGCACTGCCAAAATTCTTTTCTAGAGGAGAAGTGTTGGATTTCAGAATGTGATTTTTTAAGTCGTTAAGTTTCTGAAGCAGAGGAAATACAGCTGAACTACTGGTGCGCAAACAACTGCAGCCACACATCTGCAGGGCCTTCTGCTTTGCTCTAGTAATACACACCTACATGCATATGGCTTCCTTTCTGTAACTAAATTAAAGTCAGAGAAGTAACATGTAGAGGAAAAAATGCCATCTCCTATGTTTTTGAACAGAAAAAAAATGTATTGCAAAAAGTTCTATAAAATTATGCAGTCACCATTTAGAGACACTGAGAATGCAAATGTGTGATGGAAGCCCACACCTCTGTAAGGATTTAGAATGGAAAATGAAAATGCATTAAATGATGTAGTGGCTTTATCTTAGAACAGTCAACGTAATAGGATAATTCCCAGTCATTGCTGCCTAATAACTGCATACCACACAGTTTTAAAGTCATCACACAGCAGCCTAAGGATCCAGTCCTGCAAATGCTAGCGAGCAATAAGTTCATTATCAATCATGAATACATAAACATCCCATGGGAAAGTAATATTCATAAAAGGACCAGAGAACCAGCCTTCTCAAGCTGCAGAGTGAACAGAGCAAGGAAGTGCATATCACACTGGGTTGCCAGCTGGAGCACCATCTCTTCCATACATCAGGACACGCTCTTCCTGTTGAAGTAGTAAAACCCAAATGGGAAATGAACAAATATTGCAAGGCCTTAACACATAACATTGGTAGGAATACACTGCGATCATCAGGCAAAGTGCTAGGAGAGGGAAAGAAGTCCGTGGTGTTTCATGAAGTTCCCACCTGTTTCTATTCTACTCAATTATGTTTACAGGAGCCCTGAGATTTTTGCAGTACCTGGACACAGTAGGTTGAATTAAGTCTGAGATGCTTTTTCCTCTATCCAGAAAAGCCCTCTCTTCTACTATCTAAACTTATACATTCTTTTAATAATATTCAGTATGCTAAGTCTGAGGCAGAAATATTGTTTGGGGCACAGTTTTGCAGTTTTCCTTTTATATCACATACTATATTACTTCTCCTCTTGGGAAATTAATGCAAGCCAGCTAATGTGCTTCTGTATGCAATGAGCAGAAGGAGAAAGCCAAGTAGAAAGGATTCTATCATCAATGTATCAATTTAATCAATGATTTATTTATTTTAAATTGATACAGCTTCTGAAACAATTTAGGAAACAAGGGTCAGGCTTGCAATAATAGGCTAGGCAAGGAAAAAAAAGGTGAAGAACGTTCACTGTTCTCCAGAAATTAGTTCTGTACATCAGCAAATCACAGGTATGCCCATGTTATATGGACAGATCCAGGGCAGAAAGGTAGTCTGTAATTAATTAACTCCATGTTCCAGACAATTATACTTCATCCTTCTCAAACATCTGCTGAATAGCAGAAACTTTTCAGTTTCAGTGCCTTATGCATGCTGCAAGTCCCACTGCAATAAATTCAGAACTCAGCACTGTTGTTCATTCCTTAGTGAGCATGTGCTTTAATGTCTTAATCTAAGATTCCTATATCTTTGAATTTTAGACATCAAAATCAAATTGCATATTTCATATAATATTGTTAAGACAATGTTTATATTTTAATCCCTTCTTTGGAATGGAAGTGATGCTTAGGCCTAACGATATGGAACAAACCAGCTTCTCAGGTGGAGCTCAATTACAACAAGAAAACATCAGAAAACATAAGCACTATTTATTTCACTCAAAAAATTAACATAAAACATTTTTATATTGGATTTATTATCATTTCATAGTCCAATCACACACTTTACTTTAGAAATATCCTTAAGGATTGAGTCTGTGTCTGTCAAAGTCTGCTAAATATATCAGATTGCTCTTTTTAACCTCTTTCACAGAACTGACCTACAATATTATCAGCTCCTACTGGCCATCTGGAGCACTTTTCTAGAGCAAAATGATAATATTCTTGAGAATACAGTGTGCGTACTTCCAGCAAAAAGGGTTGGTCAGTAATTCTCCAACAAAGGTTTCTTCGCTCTTTGTCAACTGATCAAAATGTAAGCATTGATCCGTTCATTTGACATGGATAACACCTCTGAACAAAAACAGACTACAAAATGTGAGTAAGAGTCTGGAAGATCTCTGAGGTTGTCCTTCAATGGAGTCCTATAGCTCTACATTTGAAACGTGTACTCTATGTGCTAGGTTAGCAGAATAAGCACAGGTAAAGTACAGTGTGAAAAACTTATTGCCTAGAACCACTCTCAAAATGAATTGGGGGAAAACATTAAATTCCCAAAGTTTTCATGAGAGGAAAGCAACTTCCCACTCTGTTCTCACTATTTATGTCATCTAGAGATGTGTGCAGCCATAATTGTTAGCTAACTCTGATATTATAGTAGCTGTGAGATTCTTCCATAATTAAATCCTACATATAATTATAATCTTTTATAGGTTTGACCCTCAGAAGGGCTTTTGGTGCCAGTTACTGGAAGGAGGGAAAACAAAGTGCCTGGGAAAAAGCAAAGGTCGAAAATACCCACCCATGGACCAAGAGGTAAAGGCTTCACAGAGATTTAAGTTAACGCTTTTTTTTAATACAGGTGCTATGTTTGAATCCTAAAGCAAGCACTTTAAAAATAGTAATAATAAAATAATATAATAAAATAAATAATAAAATAATAAAATAAAATCACTGGCTTTGTATTCCTAAAAACCAAAATTTTTCAGTGATCTCTGAATAGTAGGAACCCCTAGAAAAGGCTCTCCCTAGGAGGCAAGCATAACTCCCAGGCACCCCACTGCACGGCAGCACGAACCTGCCACCATTTTCTGCCTCCTTGTCTGACTATTTGTGTTGTTTCCCCCCTCACAGTCCCGAGATTTCCTGTCAAGCTACTACCGAGAGCACAACGTGGAGCTGTCTAAGCTGCTGCACAGGCTGGGGCAGCCCCTGCCTTCCTGGCTGAGACAGGAGCTGCAGAAGGTCAGGTAGCACACACGAGCAGGGGTCCAGCCAAGGATCATTTCCTTCACCGTGAAACCCCTGCTTCTCCGACTCACCTGTGATCGTCAGTAGAGGACCTCGTGAACAATGCTCTTTCTTTTTTAAAAAACAAAAAAACAAACAAAAAAAAACCCAACAATAGAAAAGAATAAAAAAACCAACAAGTGTTTATATGCACGTGCTGACAGTTATTAGCATCAACCCTTTTTGTCAGCTTCCAGGAAATATTATGGAGCTATGTGGCATTACTCTTTACCCAGAACAGGATTCGTGCATAGTCTAGTCCCTCTGTTCACCAGAAAGTACCAGAAACTGTGTGTAGGACAGATTGACTTCAGTGTGTATGACAAATTGCAGTCTGTCAGGACACAGTCAAAGGATGGGAACATCTCTCGCTGGATTGTGAGGTTGGTCGACTCCTGTTGTTTTTTTTCCATTCAATTGCACTCCAAGTTTTCCTAATATTTCACTGGGGAATTGAGCACTATGCAGCCTGAGTCCCTCGTGTTTATGATATATGCAGGATTAATATACTATTGTTATTTTTGCCACTAAATGAGGTAGACTAGCTTTTTGTTCTTTCTCTTTCTTCTTACCTCTTGCTTCAATGGGCTGATGGTTGGACAAAATGATCTTACTTACACCTATTCTTCTGGATTTCCTGTCATAACTCACAACAGTCTGTGTTCTTACTTCTGTTGCACACTTTCCTGCTTCACAAGAAGACATATCCTTATTTACTTAGTTACAAGTATTGTTGGTGTACAGCTCAGCAAGGTGGCTCTCCTCTTAGATCTGAACGCAATCCATTCACTTTCATCTTGATGGGACTGCTTTGCCTCTCTATTCATCAGATCTGCTCAGTTCCTATAGCAGCTGTGATAGAGCTCTGAGATCTGAAGTTATATTAAATATTTCTTTCATAATGCCATGGGACTCTTTAAAACATTATCAAAACCATTTAAAAGCTGAACAGGCCATTAGAGAAATGTACTGACAACAACCTAATGTTGTCAATTTTGATTTTAACTGGAAAGGAAAGTTTTTGCTCTGAAGCCTTCAAAAGAAGAGGATGGGTTAGTCATTTATCAGGTCGCAATCTGAAAACTATTACAGAAAAAAACCTCTGATGACCCAAGCTATTTATTAAGTTTTTGAAAAAATCTACTAAGACCATTGAAGAACAGAGTATTCCTGTAGATCTTAACAGTGTTGAATGTACAAGTATATCCACTGTGTATCACAGACACATTTATGATGAATATGTTTTTATGCCTACATTTCCACATATTGCACGTACCTAGATGAGGTATACACTTAGTTCCAAATACTTGTGTTTTTCTGTGCCCATAAGGAAATGAAAGAATTTGTTACTAAAAATATAATATTATGTACTACATTTTCTTGTCAGATCTGTGTGGGCAGGGTTGACAAGGCTGAGCAAAAATTCACTGAGAAACTTGAGCTGGGTAAAAAAATAATATTTGGGCCCATGAGTCTTGTAACAACTTTTTCTCAAGGAAACAAAAGTTTTGCTACACGTTCTTTATTCAGATTTCCTTGTGATAGTTTCTAAACACAAGCCCTTTCAGGTGATGCATCACAACACCATTTTTTCTACGATTTTTTTCATCGATAAGCCCAGGGGTTCCCACAGCTATCTTTTTATTGCATTTTGCCCGCAGCAAAGGCAAGATAGCGGTGGTACTTCTCACAAGTGTCCTCTGGCACCACCTGCTGACACGTTTTCCTCTCACGTGTCCTTTGTTTTCCTCCACCATTGCCCAACAATCTTCACCTGACTTCCTTTCATGTCCCTTCAGCTCTTTAATCAGTCTCAGTGATACCCTGGTCCAGGTCCCTATCTCACATGAGGAGCCAGGAGCCAGCCCTGCCCTCCTTAGTTCCACACACAGCCCATGGAGTTGCATGGGGAAGCAGATGAGGTGCCACCAGCACCAAGTCTCTGTACAGCCCCTTGTGCTCCTCATCTCCACCTCAAGCCTCACATTTTCTGCACAAGAACTCACAGCAGAGCAGGGAACGGCACAGGGTCAGGCATCTCCTGCTGCCACAGGGTACAACTTATCCAACATCACCAATCCAGTGCCTACATGCATAGAGGAAGGCATGAATATATAGGAAAGCCTGAAAGGCAAATGTTGTCTAATCTCATATTTGCTTTCAAATACTGAAATGATATTCATGTCCCACAAGTGAGACTTCACTTTACAGGTGATAGAGGGAAATAACATTTCTAAGACTCATTTCACTTAATCTCAAAGTAGATTTTTTAAATGAGTGAGATTAATCTTGCCTCTTCCTCGTCAATGATTGCTAAAGGCAACTTGTTCAGAGGGAGAGTCCAGATGAAGAAGTATAAAGCGAGGTGAGCTGAAATGTAAAATGTAAAGTAAAATATAAAACATCTAAAAGTGACTCATCATCATTGAAAAGATGAATTCGTAATTAGTCCTCAAATTACAAGCTGAAGAAACATGAAAAAAGTTTCAGGATTTTTTCAAGGAAATGAGGCAAATGTCATAGAATCCAGAACATTTTTTTTTGTTTTTAGCTTTTCATCTAGGGAAAAAAAAAAAAAAAAAAAAAAGGAAAAAAGGATTTAATCTTTTCAACTCTCAATTCTGTAATAGCATCATGTCCTCAAAAAGCATTGGACTTTTTTTATATCTCATCGTTATTTTTTTGGTTTGAATGGGCTCTGCGTTACCCAGAGATCTCGTGTTCCATTGAAAACTGACATTTAAAGTGACTTCATTATGTGTCACATAAAGATGAAATAACAGCATTTCAAAGTTTCATTCCTTCCACTTGTAATAGGACCCATCAACACAGAATTTCTCCAGATCAGCACATTATAGAGGAGCCTTTGTGAACTAGCTGTAAATGATCTCGATTTCTTTTATGCCTTTGATATCTCTGACCATGTAATTGTTGGAATTCTTAAAGACCAGCAAAACAAATGCAATAAAAATGAAACATTTATTCATGGCAAGGGGGCTGTAGCTCTGAAAGATAATTCTGGGCCTTCGTTCCTATTCATAAGCTGCAGGTTTTGTCTCTGCAATACTTCCATGAGGTGCAAGCTGTAAATCACGCCGAGTTTCACATCCCAAAGGCCTTGAGGGCTGCAGTTATCTCCCATTGCCTTAGAAATACTGATTCCTATATAGGTTTGAAATAGTATTGCTGCACTAAGAACCTGACCTCCTGCCCATTGGGACGAGTCTTCTCGAGTAGGAGTCTTCTCATTAATTCCAGGAGACCCTGGCTGGCCCCAGGATCTGGTTTCGTCAAGCACAGTCTGCATGACTGTAGTTTCACTCCACCCTATCACTGCTGGAAAGCCAACATTAGCTTGATTTCTATTACGGAGTGCAATTTCTTCCTATCCTGTTAGTTGATCATGGCTGTGGCATAGCTGGGGCTTCCTGACTTGCTGCCAGCCTTGTCATGTCACTGCCACCAGCTGTGCACCATCCCCCACCCCAGCACCCCACAAGGCACTGTCTGATCTCCTCCCACAGCACAGGTCTCTATCTGCTCCCATCTCCTCCATCTCTGACCATGACAAATCGAATATCTCAGAGGCCAATGTGGGTGTCAGGGTCTACTACAGCAGTTTTGATAACTGAAGTAGGACTTCAGCCCTCAGAAAACCAAGTCTGTGTAATTGAGGTTCTTTTCGAGTGAGAAGCAATTAGAGCAGCATCCAAAAACTTCTAAATTATGTATTGACCTCTCAAGGTCTGGAATAAAGTTGCCAGATTAACTGCTTATAGATGTTTTCTAATAAAACAAATTTTCTCTCTGATATGGAATCAGACTGCCAAGTGTCCCCAGAACAAATTAAGATGGTGACATTATAAATTCTTGGGGGAGGAAAATGTGGAATAATGAAAGCACCGATGGGTTGAGGCTCTCTGATACGATAAGGCAGCAAGGACATGCCCTGAATATGAAGGCAAGAGCTGAATATTTTCCATTCTCCTTCCTCCATGCTTATGTTAACTTTTGAACCAGAGTAGTGCATGAAAATTACATGACAGGCAGAGCCTGTGAGAAGATGGAATACTGCCCATCTCCTGATCCATCAGCCAAGAAAGAATGGGGTGCAAGGAGCTTGCTTCAGCTGAGCTGGGCCACCTTAAAGATAGACTTCAACTCCCAACTCATTATTTAGTTTCCAACAGTAGCAAATTATTTTTATAATGGGTATAAAATTGATGTTTATAATAGGTAAGCAAAATACCATTCAAACAGGTGCAACATAGGTATATAAATCAGCAGAGATTAAGTGTCCAATTTTACTGTATTTAAGTAAGTTTAAGTTCACTACTACTGTCGTGAGCAGCTTTGTTTGCACATGCTATTTAACTTTGCCATTTCAGCTCTCACATTAAAGTAGTCACTCTCTCTCTTATCACTAGATACTCTCTCTTGAAAAGGCTAAGAACTCATACAGGCACCTCACTAGATTTGTCCTCATCAGTATCAGAACATGAAAATTAGCTTTAAATGTTAGTCTATCCATCACTGTATTAGCTCAAATATCTCTGGAACTGTTGCTTGAAAGATTTTATTTTAAGAAAAGCTTTCTTGCAGGAAAATTCCTATATTGTCCTTATTTTCTCTTTTTTCTTCCAGTTCATCCTCTTAGTGCAACTGCAAAGGTGTGGACCTGCCTATGGATTTGTCTCCATCACTATCCTATCTAGAAAAGCTACTAAAACCAAACGAGGACTTGCAAACAACACAGATTCTGAAGTGATCAATGTTCTAGTGACTGGATAACTTTTCTAAGACTTAATATCATTTCTGTAGTACTTCAAAACAAAAGACATTCTCTTGATAGAGTTGAGGAAAAACTTCACAGTCTTGCCCAAGCCTTTTCTTTGTTTTTTTCCTTCTTGCCCCATGTGACGACAGCAAATCCAGATAAACAAGTACTTGGTGTTGAAGAAAAAGGAATCAAAATGCATTTTAATCACTCAAAACATTTTTGTTGGGGGGTGGTGAGGGAGGTCAAAGTCAATATTTGCTGGAATTGTTTTAAATAATTGATGTGAATACACCTTATTATTAGTTTTTTCACCTCTGCAGAATAAACACTTCTAATGGTATATTGTACTGAGAGCTTTTATTTCCTCTCTCACACTTTCTGAGCCAAAATCTGCTCTTCAATGGCCTCAGCGGTGTATTTGGTGTTGCACACTGGCTCAGCACCTTCTCCTTCAGCAGCCTGGACACACTGGGACACACGGTTCCCCATCAGCTGCCTCCCTCCTGGCAGGCAGTATTAACTAAGTCAAGTCTGGGATCATCAAGGGTCTTTTTCCCCCCCCTAAAATATCATGATGCTTCTATTTTTTATTATACAATATTCATTTGTTTTATAGATCTATGTCAGAATGAGGTTAAATCACATTACAGACAAGAATTCCTAGTGCAAACCTTAAAGAGATTATGTCTCACTAGAGCTTTTCTTGGTTAAGTGAATTAGGAGTGACACTGCAGACCAGATCTTAATACAAGTCTGGCTTCTTTCTGGATCTGGTTGATGCTTTCAGACAAGGGAGATGTAGTAGGCAAAGTTTTCAAAATATTTTCGAGCTTCAAGTCAGCTTTTCAAAAATGACTTTCAGGCCCTCAGAAACCGAGTGATTGGCTTTCTATTGTAATTATTTGTTAGCAATTGAATCAGACAGCCAGGCTCTTTCGAAAGCCTGCACAGACATTCAGACATTCGCCTGCCTGCTTCTTTGGATCCCAAATGCCTTTATACATCTAAATGAAGAGATTACTGAACAAATGTAGCTATTGTTTCCTATCACTCGGTTCTTTCCTAACCACCTCTTATTTTTCCTATTTATTTCCCAGTGGGGAAACGAAGCCCTGTGGAAATCACTGCCAAAACCCAGCAACAAATCTGAACAGCACCTGTATTTTTACCTAAAAGAAAAAGCTTATTTAGTATAAAGATAGAGGGGTTCTTCCAATAAAAGCCCTATTTCCATTACATTCATTAATGCTTACATTTCCCCTTCCAGCTTTTGGAATCATGTTATTCCCTCCCAGACAAAGAAAAATCTGGAAGCATTAAAAGCTCGCAGCTCAGGTTCTTTCTAAACACAGTTCATGAGAAATGTAGAAGGCCATTTTTTTCATGCATGTAAATAACCACATTCCAGTTAGAAACTGATTTATAAAATTACAGAAATTAATTCTAGATTTAATTTATCATCAAATTCATGGAGAATTAACAATTTCCAACAGAAACCAGACTGACATTTGCATTTCAGTCTGCTGCAGCTGTTAGGTTGGGGGGAAAAAAGCCCATTTAAAATATCTAAATAAACTCATACATTCTACTTTTTGTTTACAAAGCCATTTCTTCCTGATGCAGCTAAGTCTAATCTAATATGGGCTGGTTTTATAGACCTCCTTCTTCTGGAAGAGGACTGTAACATGTTAATACACAAATCTGTTTTCACCACGGAAGGTCAACTAGGTTTATTAGCTGGTAGTTAGAATTATCCTGTGTTTTTTTTCAGAGGTTATTTTCAGCCAGAGGAAGGTCAGCGGTGGGTGGATGGGGATTCCTTAATCTGTCTAACTTGCAATTCCATAAAAATGCTATTTGGGGTTCAAAAAAGCTCTCTAATTTGGGAGATAATTGCTTGCCATTCAATTGACTTTGTACTTACTACTTCTCTAACTCTGCTGTCTCGCAGAACTTATCTGTAAGCCACATTCCCTTCTGAGTAATTTAACTTCCTTCCATACTATGATTTAAATTACGAGAAAGAGCTGGATATCTGAGGGATGAGTTCTTACAGAACTTCCTGCAAGTCAGTTATTTATAGACATTTCCTTTAATATTTTTTGCTTCACTGTGTTTGCCCCGGCCAAGGAATCATCTCTGTGTTAATCTGCATGCCCTCCAAAGACACAGTTCCCAGTAACATCGATGATGATTTGATATTCTCATAAAGGAGAGATTAGACTCACCAACAGAAAATGTTGTTTAACGATATTATAGTAACAGCACATCTTCCTTCAGAGCTTTGTGTAATCACACAAAGTAAGCAAACAAAAGTTGTTCTGCAGCATGAAGCTTTTAAGATTTTATAAGCAATCTTGGCTACATAAAAAGCCTTTCAGTTACCCCATAATGACTAAGGGCTGGAAAAATACCCTGATTTTACTGACATGAAATTCTCCATGCATTACATAACCAGGCAGTTCAATTTGAGCACCAGAGCCAAACTTACTACTGCCGAGATTCACTGCTGGTGAGGAAGCCCATGCCTCCCAGTGACCTAAGGCACACCTCCAGCTGCACACCACAAACCCACAGTTTAAGAGGTTCTGCTTTTATCCCTTCAGATGCATTCAGCAGTTTTGATCTATGCTACCAAGTGATTACCCCCCATATGGTACCCACATGTAAGAGGCACCAGAGCAGTTGCTTGTCACTTGCATCTAAATCCATGAATTGAACTTGAGTTCCCTTCCAAGAGACACTGGAACCTCCAATCAGCTCAGCAGGCCTAAGAAGGATGGTGAAATCCTATCAAGGTACCACACCTACTACTGCAAGAGATTTCTGTACCACGTGCAGTAAAACCCAGCATAAACTGTAGCAAAGGTGTTTTATACAGGAAAATAAAAATACGTATTGTCTTCACTTATTTGTTTATTGTATGGATATACAGGGCTTATGAATATCGTAAGTTTTCTGTCTCAGGTATATCTTGTTCCTTCTCCTGCTAAAGGACAGCTTCATTGCTGTACTGTAGTATGCTTTCACTGCTTCTTTCTCTCTATCCATCTTCCTTGGGGCTGCATCTCAACATCAATATCTGCTGTTCTGCCTGTAATATTTCAATAGCAACCATGTTTTCCTGTACCAATTTCTTATGTTCCAAGCATTCACTGAGGAAAAAGATAATTCACAAGTAGGCGCCATCTTCCATTTCATAAACTATATGCATTTTAATTACTTTTTAATAACCTCATTAACTGACGTAACACGTACTAGGAGCGTGATGAGGTTTTCTTAGATATTGCTAGTTTTCTGCTTTACTCCTACACTTCATTCAAGCGCCCAGCTCCGATTCAGGGAGCTACTCAGCTATAAAGCAAGACAGCGTTGGATGGCACCATGTGTAAATCTGCCATCATTAAGTTGGGAGCTGAAGTTAAATTATAAACTGTCATCATAAGCAGGAAGAACATTTTTATGGATCCTAGTTCATCCTCTGCAGACTTCATCTATTTCCAGTAACTGCAACACTGAACATACTCAAATTTTTCAGCTGCTTGGAAGAGGAGAGAGTTGAGCTTGGAGACTTAATTCCCTTCAATCTTCTTAAAAGATATGATTCAATAACTCAAGATAAAAATATTTTCAGCTTAGGGAGATATAGGGAAGCAATCCAAAGCAGCTGGGACAATCAGAATGGATAACACCCTTGTTTAACACTAAAACTCATTTTACCAAGGGTTAAATGCACAGCCAGGAAGCCACCTCTTCTTTCCCCTCTTGTTACAACATCCGGTTGAAGATGAAATTTCAGGTTTTGCCTGGATCATTGTGAGAAGCTGTAAGTGCTAGAACAACAGCCATGTTGTTGGTGTTTCTAAACCCCACTTTATTAGAAGCAATCCCCTTACACACAGGGTAGCTGATATATATATATATTTTTTTTACAAACATGTTTTATATTGATGACATCTTGCAACAGCATTTTTTTCCTCTGACATGGAAAACTTATAAATGAAGGAGGATATTTATGACTACAGAAGCCTGCTCAGCAGCTGAAAGTTTTAGTGCAGATCCTAAATCACCACTTCCGTAGTGCTATAGCTTTTTTTTTTTTTTTCCAGCATTGCTCTGTGTACTTTTGCTAAGGTTTCTGCATATTTGTGTAATGAAGTGAACTACCCATCACAGAATAAAGTCAAGTGTCCAAAGCATCCAAAATGAACCAACCTCTCCAGTAACAAATGGAAAATCTCCACTTTTCCAAAGTGTTCGGCACGCAGCTCCTCAGAGGGCTGATATTTCATCATTGGGCTGCCTTTGGCATAGGGAAAGTGGCTGTTTCATCTTTATGGTCACACAGAGGTAATGGTCACATCCAGACCAAGTGCATAGGAAGTGCATGCATAGCAAGCAGCCACCATCCCACAGGAAAGGATGGTGGCTGAACTTGCTCTTCTGCTGCAACCAGTGTGAGAAAGCACACATCCACTCAACCCCAAAACGACCACCTTCACACCGTGGACTGGCTCATATGGCACTGGTGTGAAGTTATATTCCTTTCAGCTGGTCTCTCACTACATCACTGTTGGTAACACATTGATTCAGTAAGTGAATCTAGAACAAAAGTGTAAATTAGAGAAATGCTCAGAGTTATTTAGTGATTCAGAAAAAGATTTATTTTAAAGGAAAATGCTTAAGAGAAAATTGTATATTTTCTTATAATCTTCAGTTGTGTTACTAAAATTTGTGCAAAAATCGTATTAGTTTTACACTTCTAACTTGTCTGAAAACTAGATCTGTTAGAAATAGACAGGAAAATACATGCTACGAGATCTCTCACCCTTCTCTCTGCAGTCAGAATTTGCCAATACGTCTGAACGTTCTCAGGGTTTCCAATCCTTATTTGGAACAGATGTTGTAAACAGTCTGGATGGTTTCGATCACAATTTGTCTTCATGTGTCTTAGACACTACAAAGACCCCTAAGACATAGACCTCTCCATGCCATATTTGTTGCAGTTTTTACACTCTTCCTGTATAAAATTGATTTTTGGCCCCCAGAATATTAAGAAGAATATATAAGAATAAGAATATCTAAGAAGAGCTAAGTGAAGCATCTACCAAAAGCCCACTCTTCATTCTGTATTTCCTTGTTTTCTGTAAGACAATTGACCAAATGCTGAGTATTAAAGTAGAATTATCCTTTTCAGACTTGTCTTTTTCATGGCCCTATTTAATACTGGCACATTAAGCACATTTTTATTTTACTCA